GAAAGAGTGAGGAGTGCCATGAGAATCATCTGAATTCTACACCTTTCCTCATTGATAGTCCCGATTCAATCACATAAGCTTAAACAATTAGGATTAATACGTATTACTAATAAAAAAGTTACGACTATAAATATTAATGGTCTCATACGTTTTCAGGTTGCATATTTATGTAACATTTTATATCCAGGTTTAGCCTCAAACGCGTGAAAAAAAAACAAAAAAACAAAAAAACAAAAAAAACAAAAAAACAAAAACCATCTTTGTGTCAATTAGGTCAAACAACATAAGATTGTAAGTAAATTAATCGACTTGGCTATATATATATATATAAATATATATATATATATATATATATATTCATAATGAGTGGAATGCTAACCTCGATCCATACATAACAGCTCTATATATGTATATTTTATCTCAATGTCCATAGCTAATTTTTCCATTAAAAAAAAGAAAAGAAAAGAACAGAAAAGATGAATCCCAATTGATGTGTCATGACTTGGCAGATTCATAATACATTGTACAAAACCATCCAAAGAAAGATATATGTGTTGTATTTGTCGAATCTACGGTACTATTTTCTGTAAATGAGTTAAAGCAAGTAAATTCCGGCACATGGCCTAGCCTAGGTCTTAGGCAAAATGATCCATTTATTTTAGTAATTAAAAAAAGGGCCTTTACTTTGAATTATTGTCCCCTTTCTGATCACCTGACAGAAGCTAAGCATATGTTTCAAAACGTATAGTTGCATACCACCATGTCTCAATTTTTAATATAGATGTTATAATATAATCGATATTCATACACACAAATATTCATTGTGTGTATATATATATGGTTCAGGTGGTAATTATTTAATATTGAAAATGACATACTTAGTGTTGTAGGGCAAAAACAGAGAAAAATTAAGAAGCCTCGTTCACTTCGCAGATTCGAGTTTTCAATTCGAGTTGAGATGTGACATTTTCAGAGAGCTTTTTACTGTAGCAAAAAAAAAAAATAGATGTGACATTTTCTGAGAGCTTTAACTGTAGAAACCTAAAACTGAAAACTCGAATCGGTGAAATGAACAAGGCCTAATGTTATTAAGAAACTCATTAAGAGCACAAGGACAACTCAGCCCTGGTGCCACATCATCAATATTAAGCAAAAACGGTAGAAAGTCGACCCTCTAAGAAGCTTCAAGAATGTTCAAGTGGATGATGCTTCATGTTGTGTCTAGGAAGAAGAGGCTTCGTCCAATCCTTACGGAGTCAAGATTTCTCAAGATCAAGAAAGTGTTTAAGGAATCGAGGCTTCGTAAGACTAAGTGTTTAAGGAGTCAAGGTTTTGTAAGACTAAGTGTTTAAGGAGTATAGGCTTCGTAAGACTCCAAAACGTGTTCAATGAGACAAGACTTCAGGCTACACCTAGGGCGAAGAGGTTTCGCCCGACTCTTACGAAGTCGAGGCTATTATGAAGTTGAAGCTACAGGAAGATAATGAATATTCTTGTTTAAATTCCGTTTTTAATTGTGTTTTAGTCCAGTAATTTCGTATAAATCGTTTAAAAATTCATTATTAATGTTGACGAATTTTCAATGTCAAACACTTAGTAATATGTAATATATGTTATGAGTTGGGAAGCGACAAATATGTTATGAGTTGGGAAGCGACAAAAAAAAAACCCCCACTTGGAAAAGGAAGAGAGCTAGGGATGGGGATCACAACATTTTCGTGACCCAGTAATAAGTTGTTCCTTGTCTATAAAGCAAACGTATATATATTGTATACATGTGGTGTACTGGAGTACTCGCGAAGTTGATACAGACGATATATATATATAGATATATATATATATATATATACACACACACGACATATAGTGAGTCTCATTTCACCTTTATTTTTGTTTTTGTTATAATTATTATTATTATTAAGATTATTATTATTAGTATTATTATTATTATTATTTTGCTAAAGATCAAAACTTCTCTCAAAAAAAATATATATCCAAACTCAAAGTGTTGTGGTTTGACTTCGAAGTGATTTTAAGTCAAGTCGGCAATTTTTGGTTGGATTCTGGTTGATCCAAGTGTTACCTTGTGACCAATATATCTATCCGATCGAACTGAACCTACTTAACTAAATGCAAGTAAATTTATATTACAAATAACACAAGGTCCACTTATTAGGTTCACCATTAAACTATTATCGACTTCTCCACATTCTTATCAGTTGTGTTTATATATATTGACAATTTTGGTGTTTATTGATTTACTTTTTGGTTTTGCCTTCACTGATCAAAGTGTAACTCCTATATTGTAGGCATTATTCCATGCATGTCAAAATAATAATAAGAAATAAAGGAATGCAAAAACTAATTAAGATTAGAAGACAGAGCACTAGCGAGTTAAAATTTAAATGATATTCGATAATTCATATATATTCACGTATTTTCAATCAAAATATAATTGGTCCTTATATTCCAATATAGAGTATAATATTCTTCATACGTAGAGTTGGATTTTTGGGTGTGATTTTAATAAGAAAGTCCGACGAAAAGCGTTTTAAGAGATTTTGTTCATAGGGACTTCTATTTAAGCAAACGTTAAAAAGGAAGTACCAGATTCCTAATTGTGCAAAGGGTATAAATGTTCTCTTTTATGGATACAGTAATCTTGTTACTTGGGGGTATTATTATAAGGAAATTATAAATATAAGACTTGAAGAATATAAACTACTGATAGATTTTTATTTTCCACCTTTTAGAGTCTTTAAAACTGTCTATTATACATATTTTTTAATTTAAATATGATTTTAATAAATTTATATCTCATTCACTTCGCGAATTTGAGTTTTTAATTCGAGTTGAGATGTGACATTTTCTGAGAGCTTTTCACTGTAGCAGAAAAAGTTAGATGTGACATTTTTTGAGAATTTTTTACTGTATAAATTTAAAATTGAAAACTCGAATCGGTAAAATGAACGAAATTTTAATGGTTAAAACTTGTACTATTGTATGAAATCATATCTTTGAAGAACCATATTATAAATAAACAAATTTACTAACAAAAAAGCCAACTTTTCTTGGTTTTTTTTTTTTTTTTTTTGGAGCTCAACACAACACTTCTATATGGCATATTGCAAAGACGAAAATTGAACTTCTATTAAAATTATACCTCTACAAAGATGACATCATCAAACGAAAGTTTCGATGGCTTTTCATTATGTAGGGTACACAAATACAACTACTCATTATTCTATAAAAGTAATGTGTGTATCAAATACAAGCATCCAATATGACATCACCAATCATAATTCTATAAAACAAAAGTCTTAACTTGTTCGAATCTTTTTATTACGTATTATCTCGCACGTAAAAAAAAAAAAAAAGCAATTTATTATTTTAATTCCTTCTGTTTTGAGTTAACATGATCACTCCTAACTTCACAACTTTTTTTTTCAAAAAAAAAACCTTCAATTGTCTCTTTCTTTTTTTTAATAAAAAAATTGTTGTTTCTCCAATAAAAAGTAGGGAAAAAAAATTTAAAATAAGGCCAATTATAAGTAGAGAAAGCACTATTTTTAACTCTTAGATTAAATTTTAATAGTTAAATATGTATAAATTCATATTAAAAATTTATAATGCCTCCGTATAAAATTTTTCTCAACAAATATAACCGTATGAAAATTTAATCTAACAATTAAAAACAATATTTCTATTTATGAAAATATTTAAAAACTCGTTTAATTTATACATTTAAATTAATAATTTTTAATTTTAATATTTAAAATTTAAAATTTTTATAAAAAAAATATTATAA